ATTGGAACTTTGCCCTGAGGGAACCAATGACCACTGCCAAGTCACAAATTGAATGAGAACCCTGCAGCAGTCTAGACAGACAATGAGGAACGGTGGGACAGACACCAAAAGGTCAGTTGAAATGGGAAAACCATTGTTAGAAGAAAAAAATAAATAGTTTTTTTGTCTTTTTTTTTTTGAGCCGTGCAGCATCACTCCTTTTTTTGATTTTTTTTTTCTTTCTCTTTTTGTTGGCCACATGCTACTAGTACAGGTCTGGGACAGGTGGAAAGAAACAAGGTGGGGTTAGAATAGCTATAAAATGTGCTGAAGGAGTGGGGCAGGTGAGGGGTGTTAAGCCACAGGATTACATACAAGAGAAACCGTCAAGAATCACAAAGAGGAGATGAGAGGTAACACTAGCTATCAGGTGAGTCAGGGGGAACAGATGAGAACATGACATGGACTCAGTACTTCATCTGGCCCGAGCGTCTCCGTGCCAGCTTCGACCTGCAGGGAGAGAGGAGAAAAGCACTTGTTGAGTTCTGCAAGTTGATTTCTCCTTCCCAGTTTGTCCACCTTTATTTTAAACTCTCTTGGATAGTCCTAGTTTACTCCACATGTTAAGAAAGTAAAACATATCCAGGGCTGTAATGAGAAGGAATTGTCACTTCACTGCTGTGCTCCTTAAAGAGAAATGGGATCTGTCAGGGACTGCACTGTTCACAGATTATTCCATGCTGTACACTAACAGCTTAGCTTTTAATGTAGTGTTTCTACTGAAAGGAAAAGCTGCTGCAGTGCAGTAATAGTTCAAGCAAGCAGGGGCTGTCTGTGACCTGTGTTAGGCTTCTAGACAAGCTCAAAAAAGGGAAGGAAATGAGATTTTCTGCTTTAGCAAGTAGTCAAGAGAATAAATGCAGCCCAGACCCACCTGCACAGCAAGAACCTTTATAAACCTGTAAAATGGCAACACAAGGAAACCACTCCATGGCCTCCAAATGTACAGCTCATCCCACACACATTCAAACTGGACATGGCTGTTAATGTCACAAGCCAAAGCGTAAAATGGCAACACAAGGAAACCACTCCGTGGCCTCCAAATGCACAAATCATCCCACACATGTTCAAACTGGACGTGGCTGTTAATGTCACAAGCCAAAGCAACAGCCCCTGCAGGTCCTGAAACACAGGGCTGGGTTCTTTTCTGCTCAGTTTGGGCTCTTTTCCCTACCCTCCTCCCTCCTGCAGTTGCCCCAGCCTGTCAAATGCTGTGCCCAACTCTCTGCTTGGACCATCCCATCCCTCTCCATGCAGCTCTGGCTGCCCAGGGGCTGCTCTTACCGTATTGTGCCAGCAAGGAGAGGATTGAAGGCATATAACCAGTCGTTCATGTCCTTGTCATTGATGGCCTGGAGCAGGACTCCACGATGCTTTGTGCACACCCCAAACGTGTTAGGTGTCTGCAACATGAAGGACAGCTTAGCATACCAAAGTCTCCAAGCACAGAAGCTGATGAACAATTCCTCTCTGAGGAAGAGTTGCTCTGCCACATTCCCCAAACCCACAAGACCTAAGGTCTTTCATTTAAGTTTCGCTGGTCATTCTCAGGATATTGTTAGTCATTATTTTCTACAAAATAAGAGTTTTAACTCATGAGTGTGGATCTTAAGAACTGCTGAGATGGACCCAGTAAGGCTCATTTGATTTCTAGCAGGATGATTGTGTGTTGTAGTCTTGTGGTTTTGTTTTTTTTTTAAACAAAACACACAACCCCAAAACAACACACAAAGGAAGTCACAAAACCCAAACACAAGGTGATGGTACCAACAAATGCCCCTAATATCCTGTCTAAAAGCAGCCAGGTTCAGTCTCTGGTACAACTGTGTCCAAAACACAGGGAACCCTGAACAAACTTGGAAGTTTGTGGGCAGAATCCTCAGATGCCAAACATTCCCCAAGATGCATTTTCCTCAAGCAAAGATGGCACAGCAGATGGTGTGGATGCACTACTACCTGTCATGTTCCTGCCTTATGGGTTAATAAACAACAGCTCTCAGACTGACCTTGACCATTGCCTGTTGATCCTCACTGTATTCCACCTGAGCTGTGGATAAGTTGATGATTCCTCTTTCTACAGGATCTTTGTCACTGTTGTAAATAAAAACATAGGGACGGCGAACCACCACGAAGTGCTTGGCCCAGGAGGTGGAGAGAGGCTCCTTGAAGTGGAGGTATCCTTTCTTGGAGACCACAGAGCTGCAACAAACAAACCCACAGGTCAACAGGAATACACTGGCCCTAAATACAGCACCTACTGAGTATCCCTATTAACTGCAAAACACTATGTAAGACACTTGGTCCTTAATATGTTTTGTGTGCAACAATACTCTGAGAAAGTTCTTCTGTAACAAGCTGAATGGTGTCTTCAAGAACCAACCAGAAGTCTGACAAAAGGCCCACAAAGATCTCTGCTTCAGTGAACCCCAGCTGTAGTTCATACTTAAGTCACTGGAAAACCTGTCCATTAAAAACCTGCAGAGACAAATATCAGCCTGACCTTGCCCAGTGCTGCCTCCACCACAGAGGCCTCAGCAGCTTTGCTACCACCTGGTAATTTACCTTCCTCAGATGGGACACAGAACCTACAGACCTCAGAAAGCCCCTGAGACAGCTCCCAGGGAGCAATGAACACACCAAGATAAAAAACTCACCCTGGTCTGATTTCCTCAATATCAGGAACGAGGTTGAGAAACTCATTCTTTCCAGCTCTGGCAAGATAGGAAGATTCTACTGCAGGAATTATCTGGAACTGTTCCACCTCATGACAGGGACTGGAGGCACGAGAATTTGCTTCTGGTGTCCTTTAAACAATGTGGAGAAAGCAAAGTCAACCACAGCAAAGCAACTGGATGTGACAATGGAATTTAAAGTGCATCTACAGCCCAACCTGTCTGACAAGTTTCAACCTCCACATCACCCCACAATGGGATCCTTTTGTACAATATCAAAGAGCATCTTCCCTTGAAATCTGTGGAATAAAACTTATAGTAACTGCTAGTAAGTTGTTTTCTCACTACTTTTCCCTTGTTTCTCCTGCTAAACAGTCACAACTCATACAGTGGTTCCGTGTAAAGTGTCAACACTCCTCCCCAAAGGGATGTGAAACTGAGAAGGTACAAATTGCATGTCTTTCACTATGGAGTTTCCCATTTTCATCAAAAATATCTTGTATAGATACAGGTGAGAAAGATAAACAGATTACTGGCCAAATTGGTTTATTTTGGGTTGTTACTAGTAGAACTGTTTAACAGACCTCTGAAAAAACCTCATGGACTCTGCACACTGCAGGAGCACTGGAATGACAAGCACCTGAGTGTTCCTCCAGCACAAAGGGAAAGAAAAATCACTTCAAAAGAACAAAATGGGGAAAAAATAATTGTGCAGAGTGACTGGAGAAGATAAGGCAAGGGAAGTGTACACAGAAATGTCTGGAAGTAAGGAAAAGGAAGAAAGGAGGAGCAAACAATCAGAAAACAGAGCAGAGAGAGCTGTGAAGCACAAAGTGATGTTTGCTAATTTCGTGTACTTACTTCTGATCAATGGAATTGCACCTGGAATCCACCAGAGAAGGGCAGGTAGATGAAGGGGTGAGGGTAGCACTGCTGAAACTGGACACGGACGGATCTCGCCCGATGGGAGAAATATCTGACAGCTGCAGGGACAAGCACAGAGAAGGTGTCAGAGGAGTTGGTTTGCAGCTGATGTTCAGTCCTGGCTGGAACATGGCACTCACCATGGGAAGGTTCAGGCAACAGAAAGGTATTTCCATCACCCATTTCTCTACTTTTAGCCAACTGTTTGCACACAACCACCATAAACCCATCGGGGGTGAAATACAACAGCACTTCTGGACATTCCCTGACTTCCTCAGTGGAATGTTGCACTATCCTCTTTGCAACTTGGTGTCCCCTCTGCCTGTAGGCAGAATTTTGA